ATTTTTTTATGTATGTTTACACACATATCAGGCCAGATGTGTATAGTCAAAGGACATTGTCAAGGTCACTGAAATCTATTTTTTTTTTACCATCGAAAAAAAGAAAATGATGGAATACCCTCAGGCAGCACTCAATAAATCAATTTGCCTGATACGACAGGATATTTCATTATTTTCTTGAGGGTATGCGGTAGCACTCAAGAAAATAATGTGCCTGAATACTACGGGCAATTCCATTATTTCCTTGGGATAAGCTGTTTCATCCATACACGGCCTGATTGTTGGTATCAGGCACAGGGCGGCTATGCACTCTATGGGTGCACTACTGCTCTAGTTGTTAAAATTTAGATTAGATGTGTCTTTAGATGTGTGATTATATGTAACGTTGTATGTGTCTGTCATAAGCTACTGTAAAAAGTAAATTCCTACTTGAATTGCTTATAATTTGTACTTAAGTAAGTTATTAACTTAAAATCAAATTTGATTTGTAGAAATGCAAACCAGCGAAAACATATCTATTTCTCATGGAAGTTGATAACGTTTATATAAGAAGCTATTCTAACTTTTAATTTAATTTTTTAGATATATTTTTGGCAGCAGTATTAAGCGCAGCTGCGCACCTCTAAATGGTACCTCTCGTCAAATAACTAGAAAAAAAAAACAAACATTAAAGCACTTGTGCTTTTAGTCATTTCAAATATTTTGGTGGGTTACCGGTGGGCCTAACTTTAACGGAAGTATACCAAGGCCAAGTTCTGCAGCATGAATATGGTTCGAAGTGTAGGGGAGCATACACACTTCGAAGTTGTTTACGTTTAAATTAACCAGCAGGAGGTGGCACCTGAAAGCGCTGCTGGCCCACACCCAGGAAGTTACGTACTAGCCTTTGGTGTTTTAAAATACAGTCTTAGAAAAATACATTAATACATCAATATGTATATATTATAAGGACACTTTTTATCAACAAGATGGCAACACCAAGTCACCTAAAAAAAAACTAAACATGCAAAAAAACAAACAAAGTAAAATATAAAATAAGTCATTTCTTGATATTTTAGAGCAAATGTTACATGAGGGGAAATTCAGCCTAAATTAAAAAAGAAATCTCATGTGCCAAGAATATATGAACTCCACATTTCCACACTAATTTGCATATTTGATATTATGTATTAGGAGAGATTCCGAAATAGATTATTGCAATACCGTATTTGTTTTTTCAGTATTTGTAAACATTTATTTTTAAAAATGACAAAAAGTTTGTGTTTTCCCTTGTATCATTAGATGGGGTTTTGTAACATCTCATATGCAGTGGCGTAATGGCTAGGCTCTCGCTGGCTAGGGGCCCGGAGCCTCAAGAGCCCCCCCCCCCCCCCCCACCAAATTCAAATTATATTTTTTTACAAACAAATAACCAGGCTGTTTTCCAAGCCAAAGTCTGCCGAGTGAACTTAAACCATGAAATTAAACCATGAGGAAAAGCATTGACACATGAGTATGATGGTATGATACATATGTATTAGTTTTAATTTGCTCATTTTGTATTTATTGTAAGATGTTTATTAGTGATATCTTAGATAAATTAAGTATGCTTTTATTGGGGGGTCAAATCACGATACATAAAGTTAGAATTCGAATGTGTAAAAAATGCATTAACGTCATTGAACGCTAAAATGTATTTCTTTATAGACGTTTAGTTACGATGTTGCATGACCTATGATAGGCATACTCAGCACTGAACTATGGGAATACTTGAGATAGGTAACATGGTAATGAACATAGGCCTATAGAAAGCACCAATAATTTTTTTTTTTATAAGCGCCGCACTGATGTATAAATCAACTTGTTCTTCTGTCGTTTAAACCTACTCGTTAATTAGGCCTAATTTTGGAGGTCTAAGGTCTACTGCTCTAATAAAAAATTTTCATGAACATGATCTCTTCTGTATTTCTCATTCATATGGACGCTGAAGGACACAGACTTGTCAGAAATATTCGTCCTGAATAAATTTTGTCTCTATTATGTCAACGTATGCATCGTTTCATTTTTTTTGACAATAAAAACAAAAGTCAGGTTGACGTATTTTTGGAACATAATTTATTTAACACGAATATTTCGTCCACTCCTGTGGACTTCCTCAGCGTAAAATTATCCATATGTTCATTCCTGATAATGACATAATTAATGTCGAAATGTTGAATCCCGTTGGACACGATGGCCTGCATTTCGATATTTGGAGTATATGTATTATACTATCTTATACTATATTAATCAGTGGACCTTTCGGTATTATTGTTTTCGTATTTAAAGCACATCTGAATATGAATATTCATGAAAATGCCACATTAATGATACATTTAGGCCTCCAGAGAAGCAGTAATACTTTTACTCACTAACTTTGGCAATAAGTTAATTCCAATAAATGACGTTTTAATCAATGTCTGTGGGAGATTTGTATATATGGTAATAATGTCATTTTTTTTCAAAATTTATATTTTTGTATTGTATTTTTTTTTTATTCTTATGTAAAGCACATTTGAATATGAATATTCATGAAAAGAACACATTAATGATATATTATTGTATCCATCAGCGTATCATTGCGTTTCATACAGTAGTTCATTACATTAGACTAAGTGTTTGCACAAATGAATACCGTAGGCTAACTGTGTTGGTTTTAGGAATAAATTAGATAAATACCGCAATAGACCCATTGTAACTGTATTTATTTATTTTATTTATTTATTACCCCGTTGAACAGCAAATACAAAATTAGCCACCAACTGGCGTGAGAACACAACAACAAACAGATATATATTAATATTGTACACGTGTAGAACACAAACATGTACTAATAATGATAATAAAAATAATAATAATACGTAATAATATTAGTACTAATGATAATAGTATAGTACTATTATTAATAATAATAATAATAATAAATACGTTTGTAAATTAGGCCTGTTTTGACATTAAAAAAATCGATTACAATATCCTAAGGATCTCCTATTAATATATATTTTTCATTGAGTCTTATTATTTACACCAAAAACATCCTAACGTCAGCCTAACAAAGAAATATAAACACCCTCTTAGAAGTGTTATTATTACCGCAGCTTAATAATAAGCTGACTTAAAGATTTAAGTTTATAATTTCCAAAAGGACTTTTAACTTATAAATGAAAGGACCAATCATGGCCGGTGCCCCCCCCCCCCCCCCCCTTTTGTAAAAAAAAAAAAAATATGTCTGGAGATGTTTGTATGATCGGAAAGAAATGCAAGAAAAGAAAGAGGGAGAAGGATGGGAAAGAGAATGTTTATCCAGTCCCCGACCGAGTTACATTTTCTCGCAATTCACATTGGCGGATCTGGGGGAGGGGGTAATCGGTCCTGACCCCTCCCTTGTGCCAAAAAAAAGGGATAAAGAATTCTATACCTACCTTTTCAGGACCCGTGAGCTGATTTTTTTTTTTTTTTTTTTTTTTTTTTTACAGTTAAGAAAATTAAAAATTTTTAAGAATATGCAATTCATTAAAACACAGTTCAAATGTCGAAAAAGCTCATTTCCCGCCATCTAGGAATCACAATTTTCCCGGGGGAGAACCCCCGGACCATCCTTTCTTGTTGAGATTTATCGATTAATGGAAAAAAGAATACGCATGCAACTACTCATTTATTTATGTATACACACATAAAAT